AGAGAGAGAGAGAGAGGGTTGTTGAATTATCACCTTCTTGGCCTCTTCTTTAGCTGAGAAGACCTGTTTCTCTCTCCAAGCACCAAGAACCAGCAAAGTGTGCTTCTCAATCTCATGCAACAAATGCACCCTCAGCTTAGTGTTGCTCATGAAGTTTAGAGAGAGTATTCTCATGTTCCTATGCATATCTCCCACCAAAACAAGCATAGACCATTTCCCTAAAATGCCCTCTATGCTCTTTGGATAGCTGCTCTCAAAGAGCTTACCCTCATTTTGCAATATAAACTTATTGAGCCCAAGGTCAGCTGAAACAATGGTGGGTTCTCCAAATAAATTGGACACAAATATTTTTCCATACCTTCAAAAAGAATAAGCAAAAAACAAAACAAAGAAAGAAAGATAAATAGCATATATACAGAAACATAAATTCATTTAAAATCACTAATTGTTTTCCTTTTTTTTGGTGGGTTACTGGTTGAAATGACGTACAAAATAATCTAATGAAAGCATATTTTGCAATACATTCCTTTCTTTCTTTTTTCTTTCTTTGATGTGGGTGAGTGAATGAAATAAAACAAAAGAATGCATAATTACAACATATGTAGGCATAATTGGCATTAGAAAGTGTTTTGTTTTTTGTGTTTGTGAGTGGATAAATATCTGAAGCAATGGGTTCTGGTTTTTTATTTGTTTCTTGTTGATTTACCTGGATATATGTTGCTCCATGAATTCTCCCATTGAAGTTGAAGGGTGGGGCTTGAGATAGGCCAGGGTTTCTCCCACAAAAGGCCATCCCATTCTACCTGGAGGAACCTTCTGAAACTTTCTCTCTCTTTTCATGGCTCTCCACATTAGAATAGCCACTGAGATTGCAGAGAAAAGGAGGAGAAAAAGCTCTGTTTCCTCCATGGAAAAAACAAAGAAGTAAATAAATAAATGGGGGGGGGGGGGGTGGATTTGATTCCCCTGAGTTATTGCTTCAGACCTCCTCTTTGGTCAGAGAGTAAAGTAAGTGGAGAAGAAACCCTTATAAATGGCAGATCTTTCAATGAACTAAAAACAATGATACATAAGGAGTATGCAGCTTTAAAGCTTTCTTTTGACTGGTTTTTGTGCTGTGGTGCTACCCCAACACCATGGTTTTGAACCTTCTTTTTGTGGAGAATAATACCCAAAATACCCTCCAATCACTAGGTACAGGCACTCTTGGGACTTTGACTAAAGAAGACTTGGACTTTCCTTTTTGACCAAAATGCCCCTATTTGGACTCAAGAGTGAGATTTGTGCTCGACACTACTAATCATGGATTTGTGTTTGAGACTAATAACAAAGGCACCTATGGGTATTTATAGTGTGGTTTGCTTAAGAAAGGCCTCTTATTATTAGTTAGCCCTTTTAATTAAGAAGCTAGCTGTCAATAATCTAGATTTGGGACCAGCCTAGGTTATGTGAGACTGGCTTGATTAATTTTGTTTAATTGATGAAGCCATTATTTATGTATAAATCATGGTTTATGGAACTGTATTTGAATAGAGAGGAGGATTTGATTACGATTTTATATTTATTTGGTTTATTGAGCTGTAGTTTAATAGATAGGAGATTTTGATTTGGGTTTTCTATTGGTTCTTTGATATGGATGGATAGCCCCAAGTTTATATGCACCTCCAACAAATCTATGTGACGTCCTCTATCTTATTCATTGCATCTATTGATGAAATTATTTGAAACATCCTTCCTCTATCAAGGAAACTAAGGGGAAGGAAACAATCCTGTCTCCAAAGCTAGAGAGAGAGAGAGAGAGAGAGGCTATTTTGTTATTACAAATTTTTGCCTCAATATGATCTAACAATGTGGACAGTAAACTTTTCTTTAATCCGTCGGATATAAGAAGTGGGTTGTGTTATTTAATCCGTCGGATATAAGAAGTGGGTTGTGTTATGTAGGTTTTAGCGTAAAATTTTAATAATATCTTATCATGAATCATAAACTTTTGTTAGAGTAGAGGAAAAAGATTCATATGACCAACCCAAATAATTGCGATAAGGCTTGCGGATATAAGAAGTGGGTTGTGTTATGTAGGTTTTAGCGTAAAACTTTAATAATATCTTATCATGAATCTTAAACTTTTGCTAGAATAGAGGAAAAATATTCATATGACCGACCAAAATAATTGCGATAAGGCTTGGATGGTTATGAAAACGACTTGTTGCCTCAGTGCAACCAGCCAATATTTTAAGGTGCAAATTTTAACTAGCACATCAACCATGGTAGGTTAGAGAGAAGGCGTACTAAAAATATGAGTGTCCTCCCGCAGGAGGAGCACACTATACCCTTATACGACAATCTAACACTCCTCGGGGGATCCTTTCTAAAGTGCAAAAAAAAAAAATTAAGGTTGTAACCTGGCACTGTAAATGTGAGGTGCACCTCAATATTAAGTAGAAAAGAGTGTTCCGTAGTTAGAAAACCTTCTAAATAATCATCCCAACATCGAGATGCACGTGGTCTCGAGATGTATGTATAATAAAGAAAAATAATAATTTCAAGTCTTAAAGGTAGTGAATCATGAAACAAGTTATTTGGATTGTCTATTTTTAAGATTCTCAAATATTTATAAATATACTCGATTTGTAATATTTTTTGAAATTTTAAATTTCATAATTAGGGTTTTAACATAAATTTTCATGCCGTTGTAAGGTTTCCAATGCCCTGAACTCCATCTCACAATAAAATTTAGAGGCACGTCATACTTGTACAGTATAAGCGTAGCCACCTTATACAAAAAATAAAGTTTGCAAATATCCACATTGTAACGAATGATTCTGACCTATTGAAAACAAACATATGATCGTCCATCAAATGGACAGATAGGTGATCCAGCATTTGTGCGAAAGGGGCCTTCATTTGGACTATTTATTGGGCTTTAAGCAGTGTTTTAAAAAAATAGATCGGTGACTAAGAATAGGGACCCAATAAATTGGTTTGGATCAGTGAATCGACAGTCTTGATAGCCATTTTACGGTGAGGAGAAAAATAGTGAACAGCAAAAAAACACATAAAAAACAGTGAACAGACAAAAAATCGGTCCAAATCAATGGATCGATGGTCCGAATTACCGTTTTACTGTAGATAATCGTCGTCTTACTATGCGGAAATGCCATATCCCTTTCATACTCGGCCATTTTCTTATATATAAGCCGCACCGAAACTAGATGACCGATTCTCAAGTCGGACCGAATGATTCCGTGTCGACCTGGCATTTTTTAAATCACTCGCTTCAAGTAATTTTTTTTTCAGATTGCTCTTAGATATCGCCAATAAATATCATTTCAAAGATTCTTGAGGTGAAATAAATCCCCTTGACAAATATATTTTATCAGTTGGAGCAAGTGTACAATGTGCCATCGCAAGAACACATAATCTTTTTACAAACTTTTAGCATACCTCCCTAAGGTTTAAAATGAACAGTAATTTGGTATTTAAGCCCAAAATCCACAATTTATTACTTCTCCAATTAACTTGGAAAACTTAATCAACATTCCGTTAAATCAAAACCCCTAAAAGGCTAAAACTATACAAATTTGTCGCAAATCACTAAGGGCACGAGAGGGCATTTTCGACATTTAGATAAATACTTGGGGCAATATAGTAATTTTACATCGAAATGTCCTTCCTGAATGTTGAAACGGGAGCCACCCTGGAAGACCACAAAACCCACGTGTGGTGACATTTGCTTAGGCTCCATCCAATGGCAAAGCAACATGTGTCTTTAAATCATTGGCTCACACGTGCAACGTGTGGTCGCGCGCTTTGTCCTTTGATCTCTCAAACAAGCGCCGACTACCATCCATCTATTATTTACTTATTAAAACGTAATAATTAAAGAGAGTTACTGAGCTGGCCACCCACATTTTCAGTAGTCCACCTCAATTTTTTATCCTTCCACCCATAACATGGGTGGCAGCAGTGTATAATCTCTACCGCTCCATTTTGAATAGAGGACTACGATTTCCCTAATCACAATGTCACATCTCTACACTATTTTATTTTTAATATTTTTTCTACAAACTATTTTAACACCAAATTTTGTACATCCAATCTTCTATTAAACTTGCACTAACGAAAAAAATTAAAAATTTTCAGTAAAATAAAATGATCAAAATACCCCTGAAAATTTCAAAAGGTATTTAGGTTATTATATTTTATCGAAAAAAAATTTAATATTTTTTATAGGTGTGAACCAATGAGAATATGGCTCGTACCAAATTTCATATTCATACAATTTGTATAAAAAAACTAAAAATAAAATACTTTAAGACGTAAGATCTAAGATCAAACAATGAGTCACTCTCTTGATCAAAATTAGACGGCTGGAAAGTAAGGGAAGCATAGATCTTCTATGTTGTAGAGAAGGTTTAGAAACCTTTTCCAAGACTTATTAGAATTATATTTTCAAAATAGCTATGGTTTAGGGTTTGTTTGTTTGTTGGCCAAAGTATGGATTGGCGCTCTTGGGGTGGAATTTTTTATTGATGAGAATTTTGTGGCTGAATGGTCACTGTAGAACCAAAATAAGTATCCAAACACTTGAAAAAAAAAAAAAAAAACAACTTTTTCGTGAGTGAGATGAAAACTAGGTCATACTTCCACCAAGATCCATTAGTTTGACATCAATGTGTCTAATGAGCTTTCAATAATATCTTATTTCTAGATACTATAGAGTACAAATGTGTATGGCTTTAGTAGGGGATCATTCTCACTTTTGAGGGTAATGGGTCTCTTTTTCTTTTTTCTTTTTTAGTATTGAGTAATGGGTTAGGCTAATAGTGGTCAGCTTTTAAATGAAGCTCAGAAGTTATAGACAGACGAGACCCAGGCATTTCCAAGATTTTCTTCCTTTGAAATTGCCTAGCTCTTAATCCATTTAAGCATCATTGATGAATTTTTAATGGGAAAAGTATATAAAAAAACCATTTACTTTTGGTACAAAAATGTTTTAATCACTATTGTCTATCAAATTTCAAATCAAATAGTTGTAAAAGTGTCATTGACTAAAGGAAAATTGTTTCATACGGGTTGGACCGCATCGCTACAATATGTGGTCCAAAGGTATAAAGCATCCATCTTAATGATAGATGCAAATAGGCGCTCCATCTAAAAGCAAGTGTAACTAACATAAAAGCAAGTGTAACTAACAGTCCAAATGTTGTTTTTAATATAACTATTCTTCTTAGTTTTCAATTTTATTTTTATTTTCCATATTCATGATCTATGTGTTAAGGATTATATATCCTCTAAAAATTGGGATCAAATAATATTTTAAAAATATATTATTTGCCAAGCCCAAATTTCTACAATATGCGAGCTGGCCGCATAAAAACCATATCCTTGACTAAACTCTATATTAAAAAAAAATAAAAAATATTCTCGAACTTTATGATACACCTTAAAACAATTAATTTGACATCTAAAAGCTATAAATAATTGTGTCATTCTTGTAACAAAGATAAATGACCTCATAATATACAATCCATTTTCAATACCTATATTTCACTCTGCCACTCTAGTCTAAACCATCATAAAACACACTATTTTCACCACCAACTATCATTTGAATTTGAATAAAGGAAAAATTTATATAAGGTCGCAACCTTAAAATGTAGAATTAAATATGCATCTAAAAAATCCATAGGAAAAGGTTGTTTTAATGTTGAAAAACCCTCTAATTGGTCATCTTGACATCGAGATGCATGAATATGGAAAAAAAAAAAAGAATTGAGTCTCATAAATAGTGAATCTTACAACACATTATCTAAACCGTCCATTTTCTAGATTTTATGAAAATGGATTTTAAGTTAGGGAAAAAGTTTTAATAAGTTTGCATCCTTAAAATATAGAATCACAAATGCACCTAAAAAATCAATCGAAAATTTTGTTTTAATGTTGAAAAAACACTCTAATCGATCATCTCGACATCGAGATATATGAATATGAAAAAAAAAAAAACTTTTGAGTCCCCACAATAGTGCATATTGCAACACATTATCTATTCTGTCCATTTTCATATATTTATAGATCTACTTGATTTTAACCATTTTTTAGATTTTAAAATTTT